ACCACTTGCATTCGTGGCCTGGGGAGGTGTCGACTGATTTCCAGGCGAAGGTGTACCCATCTGCGCCCCCAAAGGACGAGAACTGGAAACCTCGGTGAGAGGTATATGTTCGTCTGACTTGGGCTGGTCAACCACATCATCAATAAATGCTGCTGGTGGTACCCAATGAAATTCCCGCGGGTCTTGTGCTTGAAACGGGAAATAGGTCTCGTGGAAGATAACATCAAGAGAGACGACGATTTTGCGACTGAGCAAATCGTATACTTTGTAGCCCTTCTGAGTCGCGGCATAACCCAAGAAAACCCTTGCGCGTCCTCTATCGGCAAACTTGTGAAGATTACTGTGAGTATCTTTCACATAAACAAGACAACCAAACACACGGAGATGATCATACGAAGCAGTCTTACCGAACAGAATCTCAAAAGGCGTTTTGCCAGTAGCTACGGTGGGCATCCTGTTGATCAAGTATGTGGCGGTGAGAATACATTCACCCCAAAAACGAAGTGGAAGACCTGCCTGAAAACGCAGAGCTCGTGCAGTTTCAAGAATGTGACGATGTTTGCGTTCAACAACCCCGTTTTGTTGGGGGGTATCGGTGCAACTAGTTTGTAAGACAATACCAGACTTCTCATAGTATTCTCGCATAGATGTCGTTGAAAATTCGTGCCCATTATCTGCTTGAATACGTTGAACTTTCTTACCAAACTGAGTTTGCACCATCTCACAAAATGCAACAATGCATCGACCCACTTCTGACTTAAACTTAATCAAATAAACCCAGACACTTCGACTGAAATCATCAACCACTGTCAAAAAATAATGTGCTCCACTGAGAGAGGCCATCTGATAACCTCCCCAAATATCCATATGCAATAACTGAAAACAATCCGAAGTCTTGATACTACTATGAGGAAAAGGTAACCGACTTTGTTTTGCTCGCAAACAAGAATGACAAGGTTCCTTAGTCGAAGCTGTAGAAAAAGGAACAATATGACTAAGATGAGATAGCTTTGCCGACGAAGGGTGGCCGAGACGGCTGTGCCACAGTTCTGCAGTCAACTTCTCTTTACCATCCGCAGCAAACACATAGTTATCATTGCGCCCAAGCAGCTTCAAGTAATAGAGACCGTCACGGAGAATCCCCTTCCCAATCACGCTCCTGGAGCGTAAGTCCTGAAGAACACACATATCACGGAGAAAAATCAAAGCTACATCATTATCTTTTGTCAACCTGCTGACAGACAACAAGTTGCAGCGAAACTCTGGTACGTGTAGAACTCGATCCAACTTCAATCCTGTAGATAAAGTGACCGAACCCACACTTTTGACAGGAACACTATCGCCGTTAGGTATCCTGACCGGCTGACTAGTTTGAGTGACACCATCTCGACTCAACCAATTTTCATCTTTAGTTATATGTTCATTACAACCTGAATCGATTAACCATTCAGAATCACAGAAGGAAGTACCTGCCATGTGTGCCGAGGGGTCTAGTTGAGGAGATGATGCGCCAAAAAAAAATTTTAGCTGCTCGAGCTGGTTCATCGTGAACCCAGGAACAGGACTCACATCTGTCTCAGCTTGCGCAGCCTTGGGAGGTCCATCAGAAGTATTGCGACGCCTCCGATCACCACGTTCACGTTGATTATTGGACTTGTTGCGGGGTGGCCATCCTATCAAGTCGTAGCACGACTCCTTCAAGTGGCCTATCTTGCCGCAATGTTGGCATTTTACACGGCCATCGGAAGTTCCTGAAGCATCGGATGCGCGAGAACCACTCGACCGTTCTCCTTCATTCTTAGCTGCGAAGGCCGCAGCTTCAGGAGCAGCACGTCGTTTCTGAGCCAGCAACCGCTGTTGCTCATCATTAGAAACCATATTGTAAGCTTCGGATAGAGTAGGGACAGGCTTCATGGCCAAAATTTGGCTTCGTACGGTGCCGAAACTTTCATCTAAACCCATCAAAAAGTCATAAAGCCTTGCATACTCCTCCTTGGTGCGTATGCGCTGCTCTAACCCACATTGACACTGGCCGCAGGTGCACGTCTCCGATGGCGACATTGACTGAGCTTCTTCCCATAACGCCCTGAGCTGTGTATAAAAAGAAGATACTGACAATTTCTCTTGCCATAACGCGCTGATAAGTCGCCGCAATTCATAGCCTCTGGTAAGACTTCCTTGACCGAACCTCTCCTTGAGATCCACCCATACTTCACGCGCTGTTTTGGCGTATCGCACACTGCTTCTGACTTCTTTGTCCATAGCCATTCGAAGCCAGCTCTTGACGACTGCATCGCACCTATTCCAGGCACGCAACTCCGGATCCGTTGTAGGTCGAGGTATTGTGCCATCAACGAACCCGAACTTGTTCTTCACAACGAGTGCATCACTCATATCAACTACCCATTCACCGTAGTTCGTTGGGGTCAGGACATCCCCAACGTTGAGTTGTCCCCCGCAATCGGAGGGATGAAGATAATAGACCGACATAGGATCTGTGGACAGCTCGGAGTTGACAGCTCCGTTCTTTGTACCCGACCCTGTGGGTTTCTTCCCATCGTCAGAGTCACTCATGATCAAAACAACTAACCGAGATCAGCAGCAACTTAGCAGGACCGATGCTCTGATACCATAATAAATCTAGCCTATGCAAGCAAGAACACGAGAGTTTTACGTGGTATCCTCGGTCTAGTATTGACCGAGACTAATCCACGGGAGAGGACTGCCTCTCCGACTTGATCTTATTATTGCTGTGCGGCTAGGTTACATTGGCCGAATGGCCTACAATCCTTTTATAGTCCTCGTCTCCTAGGTTTACACAACATGAACGAGAATTCCAATTCAACCTAGGACAAGGACTCCTTGCCGTACAAGTCACAACATTGCAACTACTTGTAAACACAGCCGAGCCCACATGGGAGGACTTGGGCTCAACTCGATCCTGATCCAATATGGTTGAATTGGGACTCACTAACACCATCCCTGGAAATACAAATACCAAAGGATAAGTACTCATTCCAGGAAGTCGACAACATGATAAAAATAATAACAAAAACACAGTGAACAACCATTCAGGCTAGTAAGTATTCAAGTACAAACCAGTTCATTATACAATTAAGCATACCTGAATATATATGATTATCTGATCAGGCTTCCTTTTCCCATGAGCTCACGTACCTGAATATGACTAATGGATTGGATCAAGATTGCGAGCTCTACTGCTAACTAGATGTGGCAATTTTCAATCCAATCCACCAATCCATTAAAAGTAGAGTTATAGGTATAATATGCCCCTTTACTAAGACGTTTTATCAAACATGCTCCTCTACTATTTTTTACATCAAATATGTCCCTATACTTTGAAAAAATTATCAAACATGCCATTCTGTTAAAATTTTCATTGAAAAAATCGTCAATTGTGGTTGAACCGAGATTTAGATGACCCGACAATGGCAAATGGGAGGAAAAGTGTCAGTTTTGTCCCCTATTTTATTTCCCTGGTCTTTTCAAAGTGAAATTATTTGATTATACAAAAGAACCAAAAAAATTCTAAAGTGAATTTATTAGGGATATTTTAGTCATTTGTGTCGCCCAAACTAAAGTTCGGCCTTGGTTAACGGTTTTTGGATGAAAATTTTAACAAAAGGGCATGTTTGATCATTTTTACAAAGTACAGGGGCATGTTTGATATAAAAAATAGTAGAGGGGCATGTTTGATAAAGCGTCATAGTAGAGGGGCATATTATACTTATAACCCTTAAAAGTATCCAACTAATTCAATCCATTTGATCCATGAATCCAAATGACAAATTACGGTTTGGTACCTATACTTTATATATTTTACATTTTGGTACTCAAAATTTAATTTTTTATACAAAAATATCATTGGAAAATTACGTTCTGGTACCTAAAATTTTTCATTATGACATTTTAGTATCTTAACTTTTCACATTTTACATATTGGTCCTTGGTTGAAGATGTCATTTGGATTCATGGATAACCCAACAATCCACTTGATCCAATCCATGAATCCACCAATCCATTAAATCCAATCCAATCTACCAATCCATGTATCCAATCCATTTGCCACCTATGCTACTAACACAAAGTACAAATCACCCGTGTTGGTTGGGCGGCCAGCCTTTCAATATTGATCAAAGGCTGTACTCATATAGGTCCTACGTGGATGGATGCACCATGCCCAGCTACACAATCTTACCTACGTACATTTGTCTCCATACGTTGTTGAACCCGAAGCGGTCCAATAAGCCATCTATGATCTCCTCTAAGTGGTTGCTCAATTTTCCAAAAGTCGGGAAATTCAATAGTTGAGGTTGGACCGGCATTGCTTTTTGTCAAAAATGGATCCGAGTCAAATGAATAATTCCCGAGCTTCAATTTTGCTATCGTGTTCACGAAACGGTGCGAGCCGTGCTCGTAGCGTTCTACATTCGTCCAAAACCTTGCAACCGACAATGCACATGATGGTCCAACAATTACAAAACGTTTTATCCTGATTCAACAAAATGCTTCAATAAATGCAAAGCATCGTGAGCACGTTTTCATAGACGCACCGTAAACACCATAACCGAATCGTCAAAGCTTTCGTGCACACGGCGGCCACTTGGAGTTGGTAGTAGGGATGTGCAATGGTCCGGTCCAAGGCCAGATAGCACCGGACTGAATCGAAGTTTGGATCGGACTATACCGGACCGAGTATAATGTGGTCCGGTTCTTGGTCCCCGTGAATTTTACAATTACTGAAAAAATGATGGACCGAACTGATATTTGGATCGAATCAAACCAGATCAAATATACCGAATTCAACAATAGTCCAGTTCTTGATCCTAAAATGTTTTTCACTAATAAACCGCAGTTCTCGTAACCGCTTCACTTCTCAACAATCGCTCTCCCCTATTCCAAGTACACGCATTCAGGCGGGCGAAATCCCACTGCCTAACTAACAGATAAATCTAATAAATGAACAATAATGGAGAAAATTTGATAGTCCTCTGTACTATATTACCTCCACTCTCTCTGTTTCGCTGCCCTGCTTTTACTTTTCAACATCGTCGGCCTTGACTGAACTCCACTCCCAGTCTCCCACCATTCCTTCCATCTCTTCTCCTCCTATAAATCAGACACCAACCCAACACCCAAAACCTCACCTTCATCCACAATCACTGAAAAAAAAAATGGAGAGATTGAACGTAGTTGTGGTTAGATCCGCCCTACTCCTCTGCCTCTTCGCCACGCTAGCCAGCGGGCAGAACTGCGGCAGGCAGGCCGGGGGACGCACCTGTGCAAACAACCAATGTTGCAGCCAATGGGGATTCTGCGGAACCACCGATGACCACTGCAACCCGGCCAAGAACTGCCAGAGCAACTGCAGGGGCGGCGGCGGTGGCGGAGGAGGAGGCGGCGGTGGTGGAGAGAGTGCTACTAATGTGAGGTCGACCTATCACTTGTACAACCCGGAGCAGAATGGATGGAGCTTGACCGCGGTCAGCGCGTATTGCTCCACTTGGGACGCCAACAAGCCCCTGGCCTGGCGCCGGAAGTACGGTTGGACCGCGTTCTGTGGGCCGGTTGGACCGCGCGGCCAGGCTTCTTGTGGCCGCTGCTTGAGGGTACGTTACGATCGATCGTATTCATCTTATCTTATGTATGTTCGCCATGTCATAAACCAGTTGTTTCCGATAACTAGCTAGTAATTGGAGTGTGTGTGGTTGTTGTTGCAGGTGACGAACAGGGGAACAGGGGCGGCAGAAACGGTGAGGATAGTGGATCAGTGCAGCAATGGAGGGCTGGATTTGGACGTCGGCGTGTTCAGGAGGATTGATACGGATGGAAGAGGGAACGCGCAGGGACACCTCATGGTTGACTATCAGTTCGTCAACTGTGGAGACTAAATCAAACCAAAGACTGGACTTGGACATATTGCAATTCTGTGTATATGTTGCAAACATGGATGGTGCAATGCGGTGAAAACGTAATAATAGTATGATTACAGAAATAAAATAATTGGCAGTTAAATCGGCTAGGCCGAGGCTGATCCACGTATGTCTATTTTGTCGCGTGATTCGAATAAGAACGTGTAATAACTAATTGTTATGTCAATGCCATAAAGTTTGTAAGGGCAAACTAGCTCTTTGGTATCATTAACATAGGATGGGATAAACATTTTCGAGGGGATATCCACAAGGAAACATATACTTTCAATCTTGGTTTTAGATGTTGTGAAAATGCATATGTAGGAGATTTTGAGGCAAGGGGTGCTATGTTTAACTTGTTTAAACAAAAACAAAACTTAATAGTGATGGTTTGCAAGCATATATGGAGTTTAAATATTTTCAAGGAAGCAAAGAGACACTCTAATAACAACTTGTCAGAGGTTTGGAGGCTTTTACGGGCTTTTATTCTGAAATACTGCCAGCTCTACAAGAATTTACTTCTCTACTTTAATTTTCAGCATAACTAGTTTATGATTTTGATTCTTTTAATGGAAGAAATCATAATACAGTCCTTGTCGTCAAGGTACCAAGGACTGCCCATATCGTGACAAAAAAAGCACTCTCTTAGTTGGTTCAACATCTATTGGGCAATGCACATTTTTTTTATCGGTTTCGGTCATGTACATATTCGAAACGGCTTATTCCGTTCGGGAATATCTTTGACAAAAAAAATTTATCAGAGTTAGAGGCGTAAAGCAACAATTAATTAAAGTCAATATCATTATCCATAAAAAAAAAGTATCATTAAAAATTATATTGGTGGTGGATCCCAACATTCGAACCCAATGTGACGATATTAAAGTTCATACATTACAATTTCTCATTAAATTATGTTTGATTTAAATTAGTATATTCGTGTTGTAGATTATTATTGTTGTATACTTATTGGGTGATGGTTCACAATTGATAGTAGGATCTATGATATTCTACCTAATGTTTGTGGCTCGATAATCTTAGGTCATGATTTACGACCTAAGACAAGACCTTGATGACGAAAATAGTCGAGACTTGGGCAATCATTATTCGAATTTCAAACACCAGGTCGTGGCCGGAGGCTTTAGGTTTGGAATCTTGTAAGTCGATTTGGATCGTTTGTGTACAAATTCTAAGGCGTTAGCCTAATGAGAATGTGAGAATGATAATATCCATCGTAACCCGAGTTTTCAATCCTCATGCCTCACCAGGATTAAAAATGACTTTTGAATTTTGTTTTGTAGAATGTAATAAGCTTCAATCCAGTCCAATCCACAACTTGTTGAACTTATATATTGATCGACCCAAACCCTAATCTCTTATGCTCTATTATTTTTTTTACAATTGTAAGAACCTTTCAAGTTTCAAATTGTAATCCAATTAATCTATCATTTACAGAATCAATCCAAAATTCATCGAAATTATAAACCGGTGAATCCAAATCCTAATTACCTGTACTTAGGGATGACAATCAAATCCAAGGCCGCGGGTATGGGTAAAACCCGCAAAAGGTTTGATGGGTATGGGGCGGGTATGGTTTTAGCCTCCCCCGCCCCATACCCATACCCGCCCCACCAAGAGAATTTCTTCACATATCAAAAAATACGTGGATTAAATTGTAATCTATCAATGATGATGATGATAACTCGAGAAAATAAATAGTAGAAATGCAATTGAGTAACCACCTTAATCAAAACCTAATTCATTTCTCTCAATTCTCCTTCCACTCTTTCACTTTCCCCCTTGTCAACAAAATTATGTTAGTTAATTATTACTTAGTAAATGTATCAAGAGTTAGAGCATAATAATTTAAAAAATATTATAGTCTATATTATGTATTAATGGATGTTTTATGATCATATTCTTTGAATCGTATTTAGAAAATGACCGTGTTTTGTTGACTTCGTGATATAATAGATTTGTTTATGGTTATAATTAAAACTTTTCTTGTAAGTTTTAGGTATAATAATGTTGGATGTACGGGGATGGGTATTACCCATGGGTACCCGAAACCCACGGGTATGGGGATGGGTTTGCAAAACATTCCCCCGCATGGGTATGGGGCGGGTATGGGTTTGGGTCTTTGAAGATGGGGATGGGGATGGTTTAGGCAAACCCGCCCCAAACCCGCCCCATTGCCATCCCTACCTGTACTCCATTCCATCGGTAACTCAATCAACAAGTATCTAATGGATTGAATCAAAACCCAACCTACCTATATTTCTTCAATCCATCAACATCCAAGGTTGTATTGTTTTGTTTCCAAAGAAGAAAAGACACATCCAAGGTTGTATCCCGACCGCCCCATTTGACACTTCTACTCTTGGGTGAGACCAGACCAGAGACCTAAATCCTAAAAGTAACACTTCGATTGGCCGCCTCCCTGGGAATATTTACTTTCTTGTTCCTTCCTTCTTTTGGATGAATAAACATCTTTTCGTATTAGCCATTAGGTTCGTCTTTTTCAATTTCTACGCCGCACTGACCACGCTCATATGCCCAATCAGTTTTCCCTTTAATCGTCAACCATCGAAATTTGAAGCAGCCCAATTCCCAATCCTTTCCTTTCCTTCTCTCAGCATCTTATTCAATTCAATATTCACCTTCCACTCCCCTCCCGCCTTTATATAACCCTGCCTGCTGCTTCTGCTCCTCGAACCACACACCACCGTCGCCTCTTCCCTATCCCCTTCTCTGTTCCCTCTGTTTCCTCCACAGCCACTCGTCCTCACATCCCACCACCAATCCCTTCTTTTCAAGCCACCCATCTCCACAACTTCCTCTTTCTCATCTGGGTTCTCCTCAATACCCCTCTCTGAATCCCCATTTCTTCAGTTCCTGCTCATTCGTGCAGAAAGTCCGAACCTTTTTACCCCTCCTCTGCTAACCAAACCAATTCCCCTGTTTTTTTTCCCTCTCTGTTTTCTAACACCACGAAAAATGGCAATTCCTTATCCTCCCCACTTCAGTCTGTCTTCTCCCGAAACCCCAATCGAGCCCCTGCCCCTAACCCAAGACGACCTGAAGAAAATCGCCGCTTACAAGGCCGTCGACGATTTCGTAGAATCCGGCATGGTGGTCGGCCTAGGCACGGGCTCCACCGCCAAGCACGCCGTCGACAGAATCGGGGAGCTAATCCAAAAGGGCATCCTCAGCAACATCGTGTGCATACCCACATCGACAAGAACGCAAGAACAGGCGCTCTCCCTACAAATCCCTCTTTCCGACCTGGATTCACACCCGGTCGTCGACCTCACAATCGACGGCGCCGACGAGGTGGACCCGCACCTCAACCTCGTGAAAGGCAGGGGAGGTTCCCTGCTTCGTGAGAAGCTGATTGAGAGCGCTTCGAGGAAGTTCGTTGTTGTAGTCGACGAGTCCAAATTGGTGAAGTACATCGGAGGCAGCGGGCTGGCGATGCCGGTGGAGGTCGTGCCGTTTTGCTGGAAGTTCAATGCCCGGAGGCTGGAGGAGGTGTTTGGCTACGCCGGATGCAGGGCGCAGTTGAGGAGGAAAGGCGGCGGTGGTGATGGTGATGCTTATGTGACGGATAATGGGAACTACATAGTGGATTTGTATTTGGAGAGGGCGATTGGGGATTTGAAGGCGGCGAGTGAGGCGATGATGAGGATGAGTGGTGTGGTGGAGAATGGGATGTTTCTGGACATGGCGACTGCTGTTATTGTTGCTGGGAGTGGCGGGATAACGGTGAAGGATAAGGTTTAAGTGAGTTAGGGTTAGGAGTTGCCGAGTTGGTATGATGTTTTTGTTGTGATTTTCGACTTGTTGCTCTTGTTTGCGTCGCGTACCACATTAATGTATTTTGACGACATTCAAATGTGTTCTTTTGGGGTTAAGGTGCATAATAGCATCTCCATTGGTGTGATTGGATTTGCAATTGCATTTGTTTTTATTATTATTATTATTATTATTTTTTTTTTTTTTCAATCCAACTCATCTTACTTGCATTGCACCACATCAATGCAATTAACTTACAATTGCAACTAATTTTTTTAAGGGTTAATAGCATTTCGTATCCCTTTACTATTGCGAATTAACGAACGTACCCCTCTTTTAATTTTTTGCACAAACGTACCCCTCTAGTACTAAAACGTAACGAATATACACTTCTGTTAAATTTTCTGTTAAATGACCGTTTAATGATAAACACTCAAATAATAAAATTAATGAATAATTTAATAATAAAAAAGATGATATGGCTTGCATTCCATAGTTGCATTATATGCAAGCTTGCAAAAATGCAATTGTCATCTACATCAATGCAATTGCAAATGAATGTCATGTCATAATTAGGGATGGCAATGGGTCGGGTCGGGGACGGATAGTGCATATCTGCAGTGGCGGAGGCAGCATTTCAAAGCACCCCTGTCCTCTTTTCATAACTTAAATATATAAGTATCTAATAAAAGAATTATTTAATAAAAAAGAATTATATCTAAATAATTCATTCATAAATTAAAAATAACCGATTATAATATCAAAACTAGTGGGATTGCCATTGTCACTAGACAATTTCAGGGTTGTTGGGGAAAGATCGAATAGGCATAAGGAGAAAAGAGACCCGATTAGTTCTTTATTGCAATTGGAATTTCTTTTATTGTATAATAAATTAATTTTATGTCAATTTTGGACAAGTAATGAGTTGTGTTTTAGTGACAAAGTACTCTAATACTATCTATACGTGTTGTGTTTCATCACCAATATAAATATATATGGCGTATTTTTGTTCCACCGAAATTTACCCCTGTCCTGGGACAAGGCCAAAAGGCCCTGCCTCCGCCACTGCATATCTGTTACCCTACTCATAGGAGTTCGGGTTTTACCCATACCCATGCCCACATAAGAATCGGGTAGAAAATTAAAATCATGCCCATACTCGTTCGGGTTTCCGGTATCCACGGTTATTCATTGGTACTAATTTTTCCTTATAACTCCAACCAACATGTTAAAATTCACACATATACTCAAATTACAAAAGAGAAAAAGTACAACAATAAATCACTAGAATGAAGAAATTAATTAAAAATAACAAATATTATGTTTGTATGCTAAATATAAAATATATTGAGAAAAATATTGATCATTTCTAAACAAAATATATATGCATGTCTATAATCGGGCGGGTTCGGGTTGGATAGTGAGAAAACCATGTTCACCCATTACCCGCAATATTCGGGTTCAGGTTTTACTCGTACCCGCCAAAAATCCTTCGGGTTCGAGTTTTACCCTACCCAATTAGATCGGATTCGGGCGGATATCCACGGTTTCAGATAATTTTGCCATCCCTAGTTATAATGCAATTTTAAATGCAATTCCAATGGAGATGCTCTAATAAGGAAATCTCCAAGTGTGAGAATAAATCACAATTTACTTCATTCAAGTAGATGATTAAGGATTCAGAACAAAGGTCCTAAGTATATAGCTTGCAAGGAGGCCTAGGTTACTAGAATGGTACAATCATAATTCAACCGAATCCATATTATTGTCAAATGTCAATGCAATGTTATTGTTAAAATGAGACTAATTAAGAGGGGTTAATTCGCATATTTTGTTTTTGATATTTTCGAAATGTACCTTTTACTCGCATTCCATGTCAAAATTGTGAATGGACTATGACAAATTGACAATGCTTTAATCTTGTGCTTCTATTAAAATTTTCATTCATAAATTGTTATTTTCGATCGGACTATTAATTTGTATATAAATATGGTAATATGTACGACTTTCTATTGATTTATATGAAATCGTTGTGCAAAGGTGGTGGTCAAATTTTAGGGGGAAAAAATATCGTTTTGTCATTGATTCAAAATTAATGATATTTTTAATCTCAAATCTAATGTAAGGGCATGTTTTATTCGTCATCCAGTAGAGGGACAGTTTTGACGCGAAATAATAGGTAGGGAAGTATGTTAGAAAAAAATCCATAGGAGAAAGGTAATTTCCGTATTTGTTTTTATACCATTTGGTTTCAGCTAGTCCGTTCATGTCCAATCTCAGCTGCTTATGATTGAATAAGGGGCGCCAAAGGCACCTTATGTTACTTACCCAATATATTTCCTTCCAACGGCAAAATCGAAAACCAATGAAATTCACAGCAAATTACTAATTTAACCAACATGAAATCAACATGCACGATTTCCCCCCATAATTTTAGCCCCAAACCAACTTGATTGACGAAAGACCACATTACGCTATCAACCCAAAAAAAAACATCATTTCAATCGAGAACCAATGAATTCACAACAAATTACTAATATAACCAACATAAAATCAAATGACACATGAAAATTTCATAATTTTATTCTCTCAAACCGACTTGATTTACGAAAGACAGACTTTTGTAATCCGATCGAACAATGCTCTCCTACGTAAGAAAGATTATCCATGAAACAAGTCCTTTCCTTTTTCTCTCCTTTGACAATGGAACAGATCCTGTTCAGAATGTGGAATAATAGTACAGTAACCAACCTAACAGCGAATTCTATCATCAAAACGACTCAAATTTCCGGGAAGGTTGGCAGCCTGGTTCTGGTTGGTAGGTTTTTGGTAATGGTATCCATTGCTTGCATACGCACTCCTCCTCCACCAAACAAACGAGTTAATGAGCTTCACCGTCGCTAGCTACTCGCTGCATTATTATTATAATTTCCGATGACAGATTCTCCGGGATGAAGTAGGTAAGGCTCTGTTTCGTTGAGGTTCTTCTCCAAGTTGCGGCGGTGCAAGTCTTCTTTCGTAGGTGGGTTTTGCTCCCTAACCAATCAAATCCCTTTGGAGTTGGGTGGATATTCCTGCGTTCACGTCACGGGGGGGTGAGTTTGGTGGAATGAGCAACAACAGAAGTGGATTGACTTGGTATAAGTTATATGAACAGTTATGGTAAGTGAGAGATGACATAAAAAAAAAAGTCAACTAAATTGCAAATAGGTATACAAACACGATTATTGGGGCAGGGAGACGATCGGGATCAACACTTAAATTGAATCGAACGCGGTGTTATATCTTTGTGTTGTCCTCGTATCCCACCAAGCAGGGGCGGAGCCAGGATTTGAGGTTCGGGGGGCCGAGCTTTTCTTACTATGTTATCGCAAAAAAAATCTAAAAAATTTTAAAAATTATATTATACTAATCATATAAAAAATTCCGAGATATTAACCTTATTTTATTTGTATGACATTATAATTTTAAAATTGTTAAATTTTATAATTCTATAATTGCACAAGATCTTGTTTGACATGATAAAGATAACTCAATATAGAAGTTATACTAACAATGTTTTCGCATTCAGTTCAATACAAATTACAAAGCTATAAAAAGGTAACAATGAATGTTAATATTGTATAGAAAATTATATTTTCATAACTAAAAAATTGATGTCTGCCAAAATTAGTATTGAAAAAATTATCTTTTATTAGAAAACAATCCTTCAAATTGAAGAATTTTGTTCTAATTGGAATTTAAGGACTTAACAAAATAAAAAATGAAAGTAAATTATTTAATTTACTTGTTTTGGCAAATGAAAACTGAAACTCTAGTTAGTTTTAAAAAATTAAGAGAATTCAAAAGACAGAACAGTTAAGAAATATGTTAAAGTACAAAACAGTTATGAAAACTATAAAAGTGCTTCCACTCCCAAAAGATTTCTTGGCTACTAGCTACCACAAGGTATCGAACACGTAATCTCTAACTTGTTTAACAAATCTTAAACCGCTAGACTAAGTAAGTTGGTTTGTTATTTTAGTGCACTCTCAACTTATTTATATAGGTTTTAATATTTATATGTAAAATATCCAACCGTTTATGCGTGAACTCCAAAATTTTCGGGGTGGCCGGGGCCTCCCCGAGGACTAAGCTAGATCCGCCCCTACGACCAAGTCCCTTACACGGTTACACCTACTCACCAATATGTGGGATTTTCTTGTATCATAGTTTGAGGATTCTATAATTTTAAGAGGAATAAAATAACACCGCGTTCGATTGACTTGGTATAAGTTATATGAAGAATTATGGTAAGTGAGAAATGACATAAAAAAAGTCAACTATATTGCAAATAGGTATACGTCGAAATATGATACAAACACGATTATTGGGGGTAGGAAGACGATCGGGATCAACACTTAAATTGAATCGAACGCGGTGTTATATGTTTGTGTTGTACTCGTGTCCCACCAAGTCCCTTACACCTACTCACCAATATGTGGGATTTTCTTGTATCATAGTTTGAGGATTCTATAATTTTAAGAGGAATAAAATAAAAGTTCGTTTGTTAAGGTTATAATAAATTTGTTTGTTTATATCAAACATCATAGGTTTTTTGTTTTCATGAAATCCTATATTTTATGTACTATGAATCTCCAACACCATATTTAAAATTAAATGGTGACTAATTGCATGTTTAATTATTTCACTCCTATTGATTTCTTATGTATATATATATAATATATAGGACAAATTTTTGCTGCAAAGTGCAAACCCATTGAGCAGGACCAGGGCTGGCTTACTTGCTCAAATAAAAATTGGTGTTCTTCTTGATTGGTTTGGGCTGGACTGGCTGATCCGCCTTGGTCTCTAATTTTTCTGTTTGGGCCAGTCCCCAACCTGTAGTTGGGCCAACAATCCAAAGGAATTGTTTTGGATCTAGTTCGCGAAGAATGGTGTTTGTTGTGCTTCTTTCTTCAAAAACCTAACCCACTTCGATATCTATCTACACAATATATAATAGCACAAAAGGAAAATTGTTGCTCCATTTATTGGATTCGAACCATGACCACTTTAAAGAAAAACAAGGATCATAACCAATAACACTAAATACATTTGATGTATCTTTTTAAATTAAAAACATATAATAGCGGTGAGGAAAAAACCATTCCACCATTTCAAATTCCCTATTCCAGGGGAGCGTTTGTAGGAAGGGTAGAATAGAGAGTGTCAATTTTTTTTTCTCTTTCCTTTGTGGAACGGGCCAACTTACCGTACACATGCGGATTTAAACGGGTCCAGGGGTGTCAATTTTTTTTCTTTAAGTCCTTTTATATCTCCGTGGTGGTAAATATATATGAAAGGGCAAAAACAATACTCATTTTTATTGCTAAAATGAAAAAAATTTAACCGTAAACTAATGCATGGATTTTAATGGGCTAACCGCTAACCATAAAATAAAAGCGTTGAATGGTCCTGACCTACACGAGATTTGGCCATCAAGTAAAACAAATGAATATTATGAGTTTGCCATTCTAAAACAAGCTATTTATCCTAGCATAATATATATTATTCTATTATTTTATATCTTAGTGGCTAAAATATAATGTATTTTAAAGTTATTCAATGGTTCAACCTCGACCGACCCAATTAGTCCAATTTTTATCATAATGATTAAATTATAGTGTATTTTATAGGGAATCATTTGGTTTTTGTTAGTTAAAAACTAAACAGAAAGTTCTATTTGGTTATTTTTAACATTAAAACGATCCTACACATTTTCAGTTTTGTTTCGAATTTCTATGGTTTTATTCCCTAATCAGTAATGTGCAAATAAAAAATTGCAATCATCTATTTCTTTCATTATTTTTATTTTAAAATAGAAAGTTTAAAAGTAAAGAATAATTAGAGTTTGGCATGGGTCGGTCAAACAGGCTGAATTTCAAGTTTTGGTCCGTTTTCATAAAGTCTAATTTATAATCACATGGTTCCCTAATACTCGATAAAAATCTCAATCCAAACCAGTTTGGCAGGTGAGTCCGTGCTTACCACCATTTTCTAGGGATACAAGAACGACGGTTCCTATTCCAAATCGTGTTGTTCGTTCTTGATTTCTTCAGATTTTATCATTGTCTAGCAAAAACCAAAAAGTACAATGACGACAAGATGAAAGTTTTATAAAGCAAATTAATTGGCCAACGGGCCGAGTAAAAGCTAGCAACGATTGTGAGATGCTCATTTCCCGAAAACCGACGGGATAAGTGATTTTTAATCCGATTTTCTGGAATTCGGTTTCTATAAAACTTACTCAACTTCATCATATTACCAGAAACAATATTGTTTCACAAGGTAACAGGTACTTGATTTTGGTTCGTAAGGATGCTTTTTTATTCGTTGCATCATTCATGTCTTTTTCCTGCTAAAATTCACTATTTTTATTACGTGTTTCTAAAAAAAAAACTATACAACAATAAGTTATACACCGCATTACATTATCAAATGTCATACCTCACTTTTCTCCTACCAACTGTCCGGGGCCATGCTAGTGGATAAGATATAGTTTGACCCAACAAATTATGAAGTAATTTACTAAAAAAAAAATGAAACTAAAATTTAATAAGGGCTAAATTGATCATTTTCCATTCTCCTTAACGGTCAGTTGATGAAAATTCTCACAAAATGAACTTTTGTTATGTGTTCATAATTAAAGGTATGTTTATGAAAAAAATGGACACACGGCTTGCTAATTTGTAATAGTACATGAATATAAAATACTTTTGACCCATATTTTTAATTTATTGACGATAACGAATAACATTAACAAGGCTCGACGGTATAGACCATCACTCATCAACACAACACATAAGCAGTCCGCATCATCACGGAACTTGTGGTTCTATCACATAATAAAGCAGTCTGCAACATCTATCGAGACATTACACGAGTATCATTTCCATTTCCACAAGGTAGTGGAATAACCATATTTTGTGTGGCAATTATAATCAAGGATTATATATTTGGCAGAGCAGTAATAAAGTTGTTTGCTTTGTCGTCGCTCATGGAATCTGATGTTTTGTCTAACGTCACAAAACATGGTGGAAGGAATTTGACGTATCGGATATAAAATTCACCCCTCCTATAACATGTTAGTGATATCTCATGCCCTTTGACGATATGAATTGCACGATCACAATTCAAATGGAAATGATATTCTTAGGGTTAGATTGAAATAAACATGCTCCAAACACATAGGATTGTTCCATATCTTGTTGAGATCTAGTATAAAAGGACGAGGGGGAAAAAAACTAAAATACATAGTTCCAGAAAATTAGATTGCCCCAATAATTTATTGTTGCTTTGGTTTCTGTTTACCCATAAAAAAATCAGCTTGTACCACATCGATTAATTACAAGGGGATTAATGGATTTATAAGGCCAGCTCAACATTAATGATTAAAAGAGCCAGTTGGGCCTAGTTGGGTTGGATTTTTGGGCCTAAGTGGCCAAACCCCCTCTTCTATATACGATGGCTGACCCGTCTCCGTGGCCTCCATAGCCAGACGATGCCTCCACCCCTGGGTATGAAATTTGACTAAGTATGGAGACCCAACCACAAGGGGGGTCATGCATGACCTCGTCCAAGGTGGTCTCGTCCAAGGGGGTCATGCATGATCTCGTCCAAGGGGGGTCTCGTCCAAGGGGGGTCAAGCATGATGTCATGCAAAGGGGTCATGCATGACCTCGTCCAAGGTGGTCTCGTCCAAGGGGGTCAAGCATGATGTCATGCAAAGGGGTCATCGTGCTAGACATGATGGGAAAGAAGGCAAAAATTGGCTAAGTGTTGAGACCCAACAACCAGGGGGTCAAGCACGACATCATGCAAGGGGGGTCCTGCATGACGTCGTCCAAGGGGGTCCTTGCACTAGGGTGTCAAGCATGATGCCGAGGTGAAAATTGGCTAAGTATGGAGATCTAACCACAACACCCTCCGAGGGGTGCCAAACGACCGGGTACCAAGCTGGGTACCAAATAGGAGGCCATCCAAAAACTAAGTATGGAAAACAAGGTGACACAACGGGGTGCCAAACGACGGGGTAACAAGCCGGCAAGGCGTGCTTGGTACCAAGACATTGGATTTGGCTAAGTATAGAGCCAAAGGGGTATCAAGCTGAAAAGGCATGCTTGATACTAAAATACATGAAAATTGGTTAAGTATGGAATCACATGGCCATAGCAAGAGGGTACCAGGTCGGCAAGGCAAGGCTTGGTACCAAGACTTGAAAAGCATGAATTTGGCTAAGTATGAAGCCAACGGGTCGGCAAGACAGGCTTGGCAGCCAAGCAAAGCGACAGGGTACCATGACCCCAAGGGGGTATCAAGCCGGCAAGACTGACTTGGTGGCTAGGCAACAGGGGGCCAAGCCAGGTACCAACTAAGACAGTCATACAGAAACTAAGTCTGGGTATCAAGCCGACAAGACAGACTTGATAGCCAAACATCACGGTATCAAGCCAAACAACCATGGATGGATCGACCAGGATGCAGAGTTGAGGCCTTATGGGGCCATATGGAGATAAATTCCCAAGACGGGCTTGGTAGCACCTTAACGGGGTACCCAACCGGCAGGGTGCAACTTACCAACTTGAGGAGGCTACAAAAACTAAGTATGGAGACCAAGCCACCAGGGCTGGCTTGGTAGCAAGGAGTGTCAAGTTGATTACATGAGCTTGGTAGCATGCCAGAAGGTGTCAAGCAGATGAGACGGCTTGATAACAACCAACAAGTTAATGAGGAGGACTTGGTGTCATGAGGTGGTAGCAGTATCAGGAGCGGGGAGTCGTCAAGCGGTTGAGGGTGAGATCAAGACCTCATCATGGTTTATGGAGGCTAAGGCAAGAACCTCAACCCCATCTAGTCATGACAGGGCGACAAGGCTAAACACCAACCCAACCCGGCATCGAGGCCATCAAGTACCCACCAACCCCAAGACGGGACAAGGGCCCTCAAGGCGACGGTTACCAACTAGTCACCAAGGCGGCGAGGACCCCGAGGCGGTTTGGAGCAAGAGGCCAGCTAGCAGTTACCAAGGCGGTTACCAAGGCAGTTACACCTAGTGGCTATAAATAGAAGAAACGAAGAAGAAGCAAGGGTTCCACAACCAACCATTTGACACACTATGTCAAACTTTTATCCTTTCTCTGCAAATTATCCATAACCCTTAGTTTTCGGAGCTCTCACTGAACCTCCATAGGAGTAGAAGTAATTTAATTTAGATCTCGTTCCCAGAAACCATCAATCAAACACCCTCGTTCGAACATTGTTCGGAGAGGTGTGAACCGTGTTATTAATCGTTGTTCAAGAAGTCAAGGTGCATTGATTGAAATCAAACACAAATTTTTCCTCGCCGGAAAACAGTTTCAATGATGTCTTACTAAACCTACTCGACTGTCGACTGTGTTCATAACTCTGAAGATCAGAGCATCCAATTAAGAATCCCAAATTGGACCGAATGCAGGAATTCCCGCACCCTTACAAGCCTTCACAACGTCCCTGCTCCCTTCTGGGTTGCTCGTCACAATCACAACCTCGGCGCCCCAATCCTTCGCCGCCTCCACGCTCATCCTCGACACATTCGGCCGCCCCAGCACCGCCGTATCATGAACAATCACCTTCTTCTTCTTCCTCTTCGTCTTCTCCCCTTCCAAATCCCCACTCCTCATCATCATCCCCGCAATCTCCACCCCGAAATTCTGCTCCACACCCTTCGTCACCCACAAGACGCACACCTCTGCCTCACAATCCTGCAGCAAGAACGACAAGAAGACGCAAATCCCCGAGCCAGTAGCCACCAGCAGCACTCTGTTATACATATCAGTCAAATACGGCAGCCCAGAAAAATGCACATTCCGAACCCACAAATGGGTCGGAGGATTCGCCACCAGGGATTTCGTAAAATCCCCCACCGCTCCGGCCAGCATCATGTGCTCTGTTTTCCCGTCGGAAATTATCCCGAACGCGTGCCACTCCGACAACGGAGAAGGGCTGATTCTCCCAAGTATTCCCGGTTTAACCCCGCCTTCGAATTTGATCAACGAGGCGTGACCCGAAGGCGACGAGATCTTGACCGGAACCCGTCTCACCGTCAGCCAGGGGATGATGATCAGAACGGAGATCCCAATCGTGAACCAGAACTCCTGGTGTTTGATTAGCTTCGAACCCAATTCGTTACTGTAAGATTTGGTTGCTCTGTCGTACGTGATTGTGAGAGTGACGAACGCCCAGAGGAGGCAGAGCGAGATCCAGCCGGTGAATCGATGGACTCGCTCGAAGAAATTGTGGTGGAGATGGCGGACGAGTGGGAAAGCTGCTAGACACGAGAATCCGAGGAGCGAGAGAATGGCAGATGCCACCGCTATGATTTCAGAGGAAGTGTCTGCTCTGTTTTTGAGAGTGAGAAACAGAGCATAGACGAGCCAGCAAACAGAGGAAACCCCGCAGCTGCTGTGGATTCCTCCCAGGCTCTGGAGAAACGACGTCGCGGCGGTTTTGATTGGAATCGGGATAAATGATCTCCCCAGGAGTTTGACGGCGAGCCAGAATATGATCCGGAGAAAGGCTTCGCTCCGACAGAGAGTGAGAGCGAAGATGTTGGCTATTGAAAACAGAGCAGCTCTGTTTCTCGCGTATGGGAAGTTTCCGGTGGCTGCGAGTACTAAAGCGACGATGTTGAGTGACAAGCAAACTGTGAACAGCCTTTTGTAGACTGTCAACATTCCTTGGTCGAGTAGTATGACGGACAGTCTCGATGACGGCAGCTTTGGCTTTGGCTTCATCGGAGCTTGGCTGCGCCTGCTTGCGGCGGGGGCCAGCGCTGCCGTTTCCTTGTCGGTGGAGGGAGGTTCATCGGCGGGGCCTTGTTCGATATCATCCTCGTCGGCGTGGTCGTCCTCGTCGTCGTCGGTGGGTTCTTCGTCGAAGTCGAGGTCGCAGAAGTGGCTGCTGGTGGCGCGGCTGACGGTTTTGTTTAAGGAAGGGTGGATTTTGCCGGAGAAGGTGGGGTTCATTGTTTGGAGCCAGGAGAAGACGCGGCTGAAGCGCTTGGTTATGGCGCGGGTTGGTTTGTTGTCGGCGGCGGATGGGGTGATGGTGGTGACGGCGAAGGGATCGTTGTGTGGCTTGATCTCGAAGGCTACTCCTCTGCAGCTGGAAAACCTCTGCATTTTTTTCTTTTTGGGTGGAACGGACTATGAGATCTAAACTGAAAGGATTTATTTTTTCTTTTTTTGGCTCCTCTGTAGTAAGATTGTAAGAAGTTTGTGGGGATGCTTAATGGTTGTTGGTACTTATAGCATTTAAGGATGAAAATAAGGAATTTATTCAAAATATATTAATTACACACATTTGAAGAAAAATATTTGATAAGGATAGATAAGATGAGAATAGTTAAATATAAAATGCGCGCGACACATTCTTGTATTTACCTTTAACTAGTAAGGACCCACTCACTTGCGCTTCGCGGTGAATGAAAAGTTCTAATTATGTTTATAAAGTTATCGTGTTAATAGAAAATTAAATTTGTCATCAGAACTATAGGGCTGTATCTATATTATTTCTTGTACATGAATTTGTCAATAGTACTACTATACCTATGGAACAACGTTATCAAGTTCTTCCCACTTTTGTTGAACAACTAATACAACATTCATTCGCACAATTAGGGATGGCAATGGGGCGGGTTTGCCTAAACCATCCACATCCCCATCTTCAAATACCCAGCCCCATACTTGCCCCATACCCATGCGGGGGAATGTTTTGCAAACCCATTCCCATACCCGTGGGTTTCGGGTACCCATGGGTAATATCCGTACCCGTACATCCAACATTATTATACCTAAAACTTACAAGAAAAGTTTTAATTATAACTCTAAACGAACATATTATATCATGAAGTCAACAAAAACACAGTCATTTTTCTAATATGGTTCAAAGAATATGATCCTAAAATATCCATTAATACATAATATAGAGTATAATATTTTTCAAATTATTATGTTCTAATTCTGGTACATCTACTAAGTAATAATTAACTAACATAATCTTGTTGACAAGGGGGAAAGTGAAAGAGTGAAATGAGAGAAATGAATTAGATTTTGATTAAGATGGTCACTCGATTGCATTTCTTCTATTTATTTTCTCAAGTTATCTTCATCATCATTGATAGATTATAATTTGATGCACATATTTTTTTATATATATGAAGAAATTCTATTGGTGGGGGCGGGTATGGGTATGGGGCGGGGGGGGGGGGGGGGGGGGGGCTAAAATCAAACCCGCCCCATACCCATCAAACTTTTTGCGGGTTTTACCCATACCCGCCCCATACCCCGTCAAAGCGGGGATTCCCCGCGTTGACTGGGTCGGGGACGGTCGGATACCCGCGGCCATGGGTTTGACTGTCATCCCTACGCACAATAAGTGGTTCACTCAACAAAAGTAAAAGCATATTCGAAAGTTACTATAAGTGGATTTAGAATCAAGGTCGAACAATAAAGGAGGTAAGAAGTTAAACGACATTCATACTTTTAATATATTCAATCGTATAAGAAAATATTCTCATAAACATTTGTTCCTTTTCCTATGCTTCTTCCCCATCTTTTTCGTAACTTAGCAGTCTAATATTCTGAGTTTAGGCAGGAAGTTTAGCATAAATCAGCATGTTAGACGACAATTCTGAGTTTTTGCTCTTCATCCCTTCAACTATCATCTCTAGATTGGTCCAAACTCATGGCTCACTAATGCACACACCATCGTCATATGACATACTTTAGTTGTCCTCTCTTCATTATAATATGAAAATTTTGCAAAGTTCCGAGAACCAATATGTCCTATAACTCCAATCATAAGAGGCCCAAGAATCCATCTTATAAAATTTCTCTCGTAGCATGAGCAACACAATCCAAGTTTGCAACAACAAAAAATCCAAGTTTCAATACCTTTTCGATTTCTCCATAAAGCTTCACTTGCTATTGATGCTCAGTAAGCCTTCGTTAACTCTTCTCAAATTTGTTTTTAATAAAAGCGAACCGGAGTATGACCCGATAATGTGAACGGCTCGGTCTTTAGCGGAGTCAAGGGGAAGAAATAAAACCCAAACATTTTTCTCCAGTTTTTCTATGCAAGCCTGCCTCCTCCTTTTTCTCCTATTGAGTTTCTTGTTGTAGAGAATAGAGAGAGAAAGGAAAAGATGGAATTGAGTTGGGCACATGTAAATATTGTAGTCGGTCTCAGACAACTCTAGAGGAATTTATGCAAATAAATTAAGTACCAAAATTAGAGAAGTAATAGTAGTGCGTTTTTTAACCAAACCACTGGCTTTATTCACTGCTTCCTACCAACTTATGGGAATGATGGATATTTTTTTCATGTATAATCTATTAACTATGAATGTTGCTTATTACTTAAATTCAACAGTATCTATGTTAGGTTTGATGTCTCCAACATATTCTCACAATCTCGAAAAATCATCATATCTTGCGATTGATATCATAGTTTTGTTAGGTAAAGTTCAACAAACTCAATCAATATTCGAACTCTTTGAAGTAGCTATCTACATGTGAATATGAAGTACTGAGTAGCTAAAACTCTACTTGAGTTAGTACGATCTTTTGCGCTATCAATTAAAATTCAAGACATGATTATCTTATTATAATTTAGTCATACTAATTGTGCAGTAGGGGACATCTTATCAAAATCGTATCGAAAGACTCCTTGATTGATCAGTTTCAGGATGTAATCAATTATACCAAATAGAAGTGATCAAATTTATAAGATGCTCTCAAAGTTTGCTATAATTATTGAGGTTCAACAACACGTTAATCGTAAGGTGGTCATTGGCAATTTGTCTATCTCCTAGCTCGCCTAGACACGCTTAGACGTTGTAATAAAAATAGTAATTTTTAATAATGATGAATGAAGTAACAGTTCTGAAGCACTTTCATACTTCAGTTCAAATGATTTAACAACAAGCAAAATAACTCTCAAGTTTATAATTTTTTTATACCAAATGGTATAATTAATTCATTTATGAGCTGAAATAGCTTATTATAAGCACTTAAATTTTTAAGTCATATGATACAATTGTTTGTCGAAATGGTTTTTATCATAGAGTGGTTCTATCGAGAGAGGTCTCTAAGAAACATGGCTTACTTTATTATTCCTTAGGTAGATATAATATATATATTCATCGTTACTTTTACATTGGATTCAATTTAGTATACTTTTTCGTTTAGAAAGATTTTTTTAATGATTTTTTGGGATATAATATATCATTATTGTATGATGGTGTAGGATATATATTAGTTCCTCTCATTTTAGGTTCAAATCGATGCATTTCCCCCTTTATCGTTCACTTTTATCAGTTAATAATTTTTATGATATTTTTCACTATGAAATATCGTGAGCAGAATCTATACACAATTTTGTGTTTTTTTTGCTTCCTCTTCTCTTGATTAGATATTGTGCCCATATTGATTCTTATATTGATTAATTACTACTTTTTTGTTCTGAAGTTTATCAAACTAAGATGCATTTTTTTGAGAAACATGAAACTAAGATGCATATTGATAAAGAATGTAAGGTGTCATCTTCCCTCTTAAGGCTTAAGTACTACATATCATTAGGGCTGGCAACCGGTCGGTTTCGGTTTAACCGAAAACCGAATTCTCAGTTTTCGGTTAAACCGAGACCTGACCGGAAGCCACCGACCACAGCGTCCCGGTTAGCCGCAAACCGACCGGGCAGTTTTCGGTCCAGGCTCGGTTAAACCGGGGCAACCGACAGACTGGTATGCGGTTCGGTTCAATGGTCTAACCGACCGAGAACCGGCCAAAAGCCGACCACCAACCGCCCAAAAACCGGCCGCCAACCGCCAAAACCGATCGTTAACCGATCAAAACCGACCGGACATCAAGGGAAAAAACCTAAAATGGCCTAAAATTATAATCTCAAACCTACATTTCAATTCCTTTTGCACCGAAAATACATCTAAATTAACAACTTAATGTCTCATATTCATTAATTCAACAACATAAACTCCACAAATCACAATAAGTCCTCTAGATAACAACAAATCAACAACACATCATAAACAATCTATCATCACTGATCACCGGCCTTAGAAGAACCAACATCTGCATAACCCTGTGCGTTCAATACGGGAATCAAGTCATGACCATAATTATCATATCCATATTTCTCATACTCTTCCTCCGGTGCATCTTCTTCACCCTCCTGCTCATTCTCCACTGGAATGTTGAGGCTTGCATCTGTATTGCCAACATTGCCAGTATTCGTTGCACTTTCCATTCTAGTTTGGAAAGTGACATTAACTGAATAAGAAAAAAAAAGGAAAACAAAGTGTTAGTACTTTCCAAAGTGTTAGTACATTGAATTAGGTGAAAAGAAGACAAAAAACTGAACAATAAGAGAGTTTGAGAAACTCACTACTTTCCAAAGTCAAATTCTCTTATCATCTTCCTTATCGTCAATCTCCCTGGATCCAGGATACCTTATCCAATCCTAGGCACAAATCAATGCCTCCACCATTAGGTCGCTCAAAGAGGACCTGAATGGACTGAGAATCCGCCCGCCACAACTGAATGTTGCCTCTGAGGCAACAGAAGAGATAGGAACAGCTAGGACATCCTTAGCCATCTCAGCAACAATCGGATAGATTCCAGAGTGTCGAGACCACCAATCCAAAATGTCAAACTTTGCATCATCACTCTCTTCATTGATACCATCGGTTTGACATTTCAAATAGATGTCAAGCTTAGAAGAGCTACCTCCTGTTTTCAGCAGAAGTGCTTCCCTTTTTCTCTCTCTAAGCATCTCCTCCAATATCTTAATCTGATCACCAGCACCATCAACAGAACCCTCATCAACAATGTTATCATCAGTGGTAGGCTGAGATGCTAACTCTGATCCATACTTCCTCTTATAAATCTCAAACATCTGCCACATCTCCCTTTTAATCCTAGCCTGAATTTTCCCTCCTTTGATACTTCCATAAATCATTATCAACACTTCAGACACAAGATCAAGTTTACTTCTAGGATCAAGCACACATGCTATATAGATTAAATGATTCACCCGAGGATTCTCCTCATTCATGACAGGTGTGTCAAACCAATACTTTCGTACCTGTTCTTCAACCTTTTCT